CAGTATTATCTAAAAATATATATGAATAAAAGACCCAAGTATACTTGTTTAAGAGTTGAATTGCACATCATTTCAGGCTTCCTCATCTGCTATTGTGTCCTTGAGTCTTTATTACACATTTAAAATCCAGTGTCATAAAAGTCTAGATCTTGGAGGGTCGTAAGCTGCTCACTAGTGCAAATTTTACTGAATATTATTTTGATCCAAATAAAGAACTATCAAAATAGAAATATTTAACTGTTTGTGTGTTGGTGCAGTTAATTTATCCTCCCTAGGTGTGGGCTAGCAGAAGGCTTTTTGTTTGTTTTTCTGTGGGCTTTTTTGGTCTTGTGTGCCGGTGCACAGGTCTTTTGGTGACTCTAAAGTCTTGTTGCCACCACAGTGGTATTTCAGAGAAAACCACTCCATTGACGAGGGGAGAACAGGATACTGGACTAGATGGACCTGAGGTCTGATTCAGTGTGGCAATTCCTATATTTCCAAATGTTTTTATTCAAAAAAATAGTTCTAAGGTGTTTTAACTAATAATCTCATAATATCCAAATGAATAAGTGTGAAAGGGTTTGTGATCATTGGGAGAGTAACCTCTGATGTCACAATCTCAACAAACAATGTAACAAAAGAGAGACGAGGAACAGGAATTATTTTAAAGGCATAGTTCCATCACCCCATGCAATGAGATTTTCATAAGACAACAACAGAAAGGGATGAGGTGGAGAATGGAGAAGAGGGAAAAAATGAAGGGCCACCCACCTAATTAGTGGAGCTAATTAGGTGACTGGCTCCTCAGAAGACTCGCATGTAAGGTGAGGTGGTGGCCTTGGGGGAGATAGGTGGCAGGGGGGAGTGGGGTGAGAAAAGGGGGTGGGAGGAATTTGGGACATGCAGGGCTGCTTTCCCCAACTCCAGGGTTGCAGCTGCCGGGGAGAGACCCCACTCCTCAGCGCCAGCTTGGGGGCTGCCGTGGCAGGGGAGAGAGGGCACATCCATCGCATTAGAAAGGTAAGACTACTGATATTAAAATATGACTTGTGTGCTTTTATTTGTAGAACAAAAAAAAAAGCTATTCTTGCTTATTACTTATTAATGAGATTTGTGTGTTGATTACTTTGGCCCACTGCTAAGACAAAAGTTCTGTTGAGGTAATTTTTACAAAATGAATAATCTCTGTCAAAACAGGTCACCAAAAATGAACAAACAAACCCCAAATCCCCTGATTTACAGTGATAGTACTGATGTCTGTGAAGAGCAATGCTGGCTTCAGGGTGTTAACTAATACTACAGATTAGTTAACTATTTAAAATACATTTTCTGTGAGGAATGGGTGAACCAGTTCAGATAAAATAAAAACCAACTTGCTCCTTTAGCCATTCCTCATACACAGACCTGAGTCTTTTGTGACGGACAAAAATATGACATTACCATAACCAACACAAAACCTGCTTTGTTTGATCACCTTTTTATGTGTCATAAGTCCCAGGCAGTATTTCCAACCTGGCCAAAACTAGGACGTGCTGGAATGCTATGGGCAAGCTTGTTCATGTTCTATTTCAAACTGGCTTTTCTGTTGCAGCTCTGCAGCCTCCAATTTTTGGGAAGCACTGCAAGAAAGAAGGTTGCTCCCCAAGTTGGTCATCAACCATCATGTTTGTTTGCAAGAGGCTTCCTTTTTATTGTCCGAGAAGCATCAGAGCAAGTAGGGCAAGATATTTATAGCTAGTACAGCATACCGGAAAGAGGAGCAGCAGAACATGGGGCTACTGGGCGCCCCTCGTCAGCAGCTCCTCCGCCCCCAGCTCTTCCACACAGGGTCTCCTCCAGCTCCCAGCAGCAGCCCCATCGGAGGACAGAGCTGGGGGCGGTACAGCCGCCAGAGGAGCTGCCGGCGTTCTGCTCCTTTCCCTGCTGCCCCTTCCAGCGTGGAGAGGAGCAGAACCCAAGCCCCACTCCCTGCCCTTCCACAGAGCTGCGTCTTCTCCAGCTCCCAGCAGCAGCCCCGCCGGAGGACAGGGCTGGGCTGGGGTGGTACAGCCTCCGGAGGAGCTACCAGCATTCTCCTCCTTCCCTCACTGTGGTTCCTGGGAGAGCCCTGAACCACAGGGCTTTCCCAGGAACCGCAGCAGGGAAAGGAGCAGAACATGGGGCCACTGGCCAGCCCCACGCTGGCAGCTCCTCCGGTGCGGCTGCTGTACCGCCTCCAGCCCCGCCCCCCCCAGCCCTGTCATCTGGTGGGCTGCTGTACAGATGGAGGGGACCCTGTGTGGAAGAGCTGGGGTGGTAGAGCCACGCTGTAGGAGCTGCTCCTTTCACCGCTGCAGTTCCGAAGGCAAAGCGGGAGGAGGACAGAGCCTCCCCCATCCCCAGGTAAGGGGGTGGATCATGGGGAGAGCGTAGGTGCCCCGGGCTGAAGGCAGGGTGGGGAGAAGTCACGTGGAAGGTCACATGAGGAGGTCACATGCCCGCCATGGCTTCCCCCACTTACCAGTAAGAAATGGATTCCACTTGCACCACGGCTGAGAAGGGGCCCGACAGCCATGACATAAATAATGGAAATAAAATAGTCCGGGCCAGTTTCTCATCTAGTGAAGGATGGTGCTATGCTAATTTACACAAGCTGAGGATCAGTTTCAGTGCTCCACTATAGTAGTTGCAACTTCCGAGGCCAGCAGGCCTCATCACTTTGCTTCTCCCTTTCTTCCCTACTGTAATACAGGGCATTTATATTTTAAATTACTCTGCTGTTTATTTTTCTACATTCTTACAATAATCACTGTGAGAGGTCAGTGAGGACCTCAGTATTAGGAACTCAAAGGGCAAAAAGTGTCCCCATTCCATGACAGTAATCTACATAGTAAGCCTCTCCTATTGCTAATTTTTGTTTCTGGATTGAAAAAGAGAAGTCTGGCCAACTTCCTGGGATTAATTTTAAATCAGTTGTTTCTCCTACTTGTGATGGCAGATTCTGCAGCATGTTTCTAATGTGACTGCCCTTTCTTCCAGCACAAGTGTTCCATTCTGATACCAGTATTGCCCCTCTGTTGAGCATTTGCAGAGTTCAGGGCCTTGCAGGTCACCTTCCCAGTGGAGGAGAAATCAGTGATGAGGAGTCTGAGTACCGTCATCGTATAACTTATTTAATTTACACACATGCATTGATCCGGAAAGAGGTGGTCAAACAGCATGCAGGCCATCTCTTCTGTGAGGAACTGCAGCCAACCCCAATTCCTGGTTTCTGGGAGTAACTCTGCCTCAAGAATTGACTCTCATCAGAGACCAAGATAGACAAACTTTTCTGCTGCTCACATTGCTCACTCTCCAAGGACTACCGCTTCCACTCAAAACCCTGCATAACAAAAAATAACATAGTATGCCTTCCTAAGACTGAACATTTGCTCACACCCTAAGAAAACTAATTTGGAAAACTATGTGTAACAGTGCCACCTGCTTGGGCGCCCCGACAAATAGGGGGCTACAGGAGGCATAATCTTCTTAAACAAAAGTAAGCAGAGATACCATATAGTCCCTTTAATAAAGAGTAAAACTGCACATACGGCTTATGTTTCTAATGAAAAAATTGCAATTGGGACACACGTCTTGAAGGCACTGATGGCTTAGATTGGCATTTCTATAGGAGCCTCATGATGCAAATAAGGATAGGTCAAAATTCACCTTTTAATAAATTAGTGCTAAATCCCCAGAAATAGTTATTTCTTTGCTATAGAGAATATAGGGCCATAGAGTCATGGGATTAGAAGGGAACAAGGGTCATCTAGTCCAACCCCCTGCCACGATGCAGGATTTGTTGAAGCTGATGCGTGAACAAGTCCTCCATTTAAGGCAGTTGTAAGAGTGTAGTGGTTGTAGATGTATGTATAGACACTAAGGGCATGTCTACACTTGGCTCCACAACAATACAGTGATGTGTACACATTGGGAGCTATGCAAATAACAATGTACTATTGAAGTCAGAGTGACTATTTGTATGTGTTCAGTACTACGCAGAGTAAGCAGAGGTTGTAACGTTGAATGCTACGTTTTTGATTTCCACCCTCTTTATGGCACTGTAATAGTGCTCAATGTTTATAAGATAAAAGTAAATCTAACCCGACATACTAGAATTTCAGGTAATTAGTTTTCAACTTTCAGTTAATAAATAATCAGTAGTTCAAGTTATCTGCTTAATCACAATAATATTACCAACTGACACTGTAGGTCTTTAGCCATCTTCAGACAATCAAAGTGCAAAGAGTTACTTGTGCCAGTTAAAAATTAGCATCTATAAACATGGCATTCTTTCTACACATAATACATCTGTGCACTTTGCGAAGCTCATGCACTGGATAGGGCTTTGTAATAGTAGTCCTTTATACTTATTTTGTTAGATATTATTACCTACTAGAAAAGTGCCTATTTTGTTGTGCATTATAATTTTGAAAAGTATGCATTACATTTATTATTTCTTTAGTGCCATTATAGTCTTCTGGGTTAACACATATATGGCTGAATGCCTATTTTAAAAACATATATTAATTTCCTTTACTAGATAAATACAAATAAGTAGTTTTAAAAAAATGGACTTTAGACACCATTAGAGCCATTATGATTTAATAAGTTATTGATAATTTATTTCAGTTTACCAAGATACTTTCCCAGAGTTATTGTTATATCTCAGTAAACTTCACTAATTATGCTTGGTTGGAAATAGTGAAGTAAACCAACTGCACACTTCTATTCAGTGGCTTTTAGAAAGCAAATGTGTATTAAAAGTAGAATATGGCTAGGCAAAATGTATGTAACTTTTCTTCACATGAAGTTACTTTGATGGTTTGTAGGAATTATAACCAATTATAAATGTAATAAGTTATATTCCTGTTTTTGTATTAGATTTTAAAATTTGTTTTCTTTATAGCTTCCCTGAAATCTGTGTTATGAAAGATTCAGCCTCTGGTTAATATTATATACAATGTAATTGATTAAATACAAATGGAAAAATTTCTTACCAGTAAAATCTGCAGAAATTGACTTTCAAGGGCTGCTTGTATGAAGTTCCGCATACTTATGAACTCAGAATAGCCTGGTACAAAGTTCACGTGACATAAAACAAACTGTGTAATCTATTACAGAGTTAGCAACTATCAAATAACTTCATATCCAGTAAACTGGAAGTCTTAGTAATTTTTTTTGTTACTTTTTAATACTTGCATATCTACAATTTAAAGTAACCTCTTTTGTCTCTGCTTCTGGGTATGACCATGCCTGTCTTTGGCTAACACTATATCAGAATGACTTAAAAACAAATCAGCATTTAACTCTGAATTAAACAATGCCCACTGTAACACTATTCAATTCTTTGGATTGTATTTTTTGTGCACTATAGTCTTTTTTAATTATTTGCATATACATTATGAAGTATGGGAGAGATATTTGTATTCTTTTTTATTCATATGATATGAACCTGTCCACTTGATTACTTTTTATTGGACTATCTTCTGTTGGTGAGAGAGACAAGCTTGCAAGTCAGACAGTTCTGGGAAAGGAACTCCCAGCTTGCAGCAAAATGGAAGGTGGAACAGATTGTTTAGCATAGTTAGCACATATTGTAAGAGACTATTCAAGGTAGAGTGGCCCGTTAACACTTCCGCAGTCATAAACAAAAAGAGGGGGTTAGTGTGTTACAGATTGTTGTAATAAACCACAAATCCAGTGTCCCTATTCAGTCTTTGATTTTCAGGGCTGGTCTACACTGCATGGTTAGGTCGACATAAACTGCCTTGTGTCAACCTAGCTGTGGAAATGTCTTCACTTAAGTTTGGCTTCCGCCAACATAAGTGCCTCTCTATGCCAATTTAGGCCAGGTCTACACTACAGACCTATATCAGTATAACTACATTGCTCAGAGGTGTGAAAAATCCACACCCCTGAGCAACGCAGTTATACTGACCTAAACTCCCATGTAGACAGCGCTATGTCAGTATAGCTCTGCCTCCCAGGGAGGTGTATTAACTATGCTGATGGAAGAAGGGCTCCCATCAGCGTAGCGGCATCTTAACGTAAGTGCTACAGTGCAATGCAGCTGCGCCGATGGAGCGTTTTAAGTGTAGACCTCCCCTAAGTAACACCACCTCCCCAAGCGGCATAGAGTCATGGTTGATGTAATTAGGTCAACGCAGGGACAGTGTAGACACTGCTTTGCTTACATCAACTGTTACTCGCTTTCAGGAGCCATCCCAGAATGCCCCACACTACAATACAAGCGCTCCCGGTAGGGACGTGCACTGCCAACACATGGAACCAAGCATGCACACACACAAGTGATTTAATAACTGTGATGAATGTATGCCAACATAAGTTAGGCCAACATAATTTTGTAGTGTAGACATGGCCTTAGCAACTAGCAGAGTAATGAATTTAAGATCCCAAGCTCATCTTTTGAAAATGCTGTGCAGGTTTCCTTTAAGGATGAGAACTAATAGGTCAGTGATCTGGTAATTCTGTTCTTTACTATAGTTTCAACCAATTTGCCAAGCAGAAACAACTAAGATACAAACAAAATAACAAAATAGAGGAACTAGAACTACTGGTGCAGGAAGTGAAACCAGATATTAGACGGATAACAGAAACATGGTGGAATAGTACTCACGACTGGAGTACAGGTATTGAAGGTATGTGCTGTTTAGGAAAGACAGAAATAAAGATAAGGGTGGTAGAGAAGCATTGTATATTAATGATGAGGTAGACTAGAGAAATTAGAAGTGATGGAATGGATAAAACAGAATCTGTTTGGGTCAAAATTACTTTGGGGAAGAAAACTACTAGAGGTTCCTGTGGAATAGTGCTTGGGGTATGCTACAGAACCCCAAGATCTGATTTGGATATGGATAGAGACCTCTTTAATGTTTTTAATGAAATAAGTACTACTGGGAATTGTGTGATTATGGGAGACTTCAACTTCCCAGAAATAGACTGGAGGACAAGTGCGACTAATAATAATAAGGCCAATATTTTCTTGGATGTGATAGCTGACATTTCTTCACCAAATAGTCACGGAACCAACAACAGGTGATGCCATTTTAGATTTGGTATTAGTGAGGATCTCATACAACTGGTTATAAAGGGACAACCCCTTGGTCTGAGTGATCATGAGCTAATTCAGTTTAAACTAAATGGAGCACTAAACAAAAATGGATCTGCAATTAGGGTCCTTGATTTCAAAAGGGCAAACTTAAAAAAATTAGGGGAATTAGTTAGGGAAGTGGACTGGACTGAAGAACTCAAGGATTTGAATGTGGAGGAGGCTTGGAATTACTTTAAGTCAATATTGCAGAAACTAGCTGATGTTAACAATAAGGCCATTTCCTATAGCCATATTGTAGGGCCTCAGGCCTTTGTCTGCAGTCATATTAGGAGAGCAGCAGCCATTAGCTAAGAAGCAGGAAGTGTCATCCTCACATTCCATCTAAATTACATTAAAACAATGTAATATTAGGCTGTTAAGAAGATCCTATCCTAATAGCACCCACCATCACCAGATAAAGAAACAGATTTTAAGATGGTTAAAGAAAACTTAGTTTGGTAACATTCTGTCTGGCAAGAAATCATTTATCAACAGTTGTGGTTATGAAATCCTCTTTTTTTTTTTTTTTGGTCATTATGGTCCCCACTTCTCTATTGTTTGTATGGTCTCTGTCTGGTTCTTTGATTGTTTCTGTTGGTTACATAATTAATTTTGCTAGGTGTAAATTAATGAAAGTGGTGGGGTATGATTGGTTAGAGAATTTTGTTGCAATATGTTAGGCTTGGTTAGTAAAATGTTAGTAAAATGATTGGTTAAGGTATAGCTAAGCAGGACTCTAGTTTCACTATATAAACTGGGTCCAAAAAGAAATTCTTAGGAACCAACTCCAGGACACAGCCCCAAGATCAGAGCGGCCAGACCTCAACACTCTGCCAATGACACCGTGCAGAAACTGGAGTCCCCCAGAGTCCCCCTGATCCTGACTGGCCATCAAGAAAAGTTCATCTGCCTTATTGGGACTGGGAGTGGTGAGCATTGTATGTTTAACATGTGCATTTTTTTTGTCTTTTTGGTAATTGTTAATAAATAGAGGTTAAATAGAACATTACTGTGTAAGGCTCTTTCACTGGTAAAAGACCCCACAAGCCCTTAGAGTGTAAGGTTACGCCCAGAGCCCACTGAACGGTGAGGGTGGGTGCCTAAATTAAGAGGGTTAAACCTGAGCCCTAGGAAAAGGGTAAGGATGGGCGCTCTACAGGATAAGGTTACGCCTTGAGCCCTAGGAACTGGGTAAAGGTGGGTGCCCCTAGAGTGTGTGAGTAACAGAGAATTTTGTGCGGGTAACACTGAAGCCTGCATCCCAAGCAAGGGGAAAAAATCATAGGGAAGGGTTGCAGACCAAGCTGGAGGAGCAAGCATCTCAAACAGAGAAAGCAGAAATCCTACAGGGAATGGAAGACGGGATGGATGAGCACGGAAAGGTCAGAAAGTGGAGGGATAAAGTGAGAGTAGCCAAAAGCCAAGCAGAGTTGAACCTTGCAAAGGAAATTAAAACCAATAATAAAAGGCTCTACATAGCCATATAAATAAAAAGAAAACAAGGAAAGAAGTGGGACCGCTAAGCACTGAGGATGGGGTAGAGATTTAAAGACAATCTAGGCATGGCTCAATACCTAAACAAATACTTCCCCTCAATTTTTAATAAGAGTAATGAAGAGCTTAGGGGTAGTGGCAGGATGGCTAATGGGAATGAGGATATGGAAGTAGAAATTACCACATCCAATGTTGAGTCAAACTCGAACAGCTTAATGGGTTAAATCCATCCAACAATATTAAAGGAACTGGCACATGAAATTGCAAGCCCCATAGCAAGGGTCCCTTTTCGACTGGGCGTTCCGGTCGAAAACCGGACACCTGCCAATCCTATACAGTAACTCCTCACTTAAAGTCATCCCGGTTAACATTGTTTCATTGCTGATCAATTAGAGAACATGCTCGTTTAAAGTTGTACAGTGCTCCCTTATAACGTTGTTTAGCAGCCGCCTGCTTTGTTCACTGCTTGCAGAAAGAGCAGCCCATTGGAGTTAGCTGGTGGGGGCTTCGAACTGGTGGACCGGCAGCCCCCTAATCAGCTCCCTGCTCCCCTAAGTTCCCTGTGCAGCAGCTGCCCAGCAGGCTATCAATTGCCGGTAGTTCAGCTGTCCCTCCCCTCACTGCCATGTGCTGCTCCTGCCCTCTGCCTTGGGGCTGCTCCCCGGAGCCTCCTGTTTGCTGTGTGTGTGTGGGGGGAGAATAGAGGGGCTAATGTCAAGGTGTCCCCCTCCCCCCTGCTCCTGCCCCCCACTTACCCCATCTCCATAGAGCGGGGTGGGGGGGACACGACAGGGCTCAGGACAGAGGGAGCTTGCTAGCAGCAGCAGCTGTCTCAACTTGCTGATCTACTTAAAAAGGAAATGTACTTAGAGTGGGGTCAGCGTACTTAAAGGGGCAATGTGTATCTCTCTCTCTCACACACAGGGTGTGTCTCTCTGTCTCTGTCTGCCATGCTGTCCCCCCTCCTTCCATTTGTGCAGCCTTATAGAGTCTGAGGCTACATTAACAACGTGTTAACCCTTGAGGGCTCAGCTGAGTGCTAGTTCATCATTTAGCAGTAAAAATAACTAGGAGTCTTGTGGCACCTTAAAGGCTAACAAATTTATTAGAGCATAAGCTTTCATGGGCTATGACCCACTTCTCCATACATCTGAAGAAGTGAGCCATAGCTCACGAAAGCTTATGCTCTAATAAATTTGTTAGTCTTTAAGGTGCCACAAGACTCCTCATTGTTTTTGCTGAAACAGAGTAAAATGGCTACCCCTCTGAAATTTAGCAGTAAGGCATTCCCTGGGAAATATCCTACCCTCTGACTCCACTACCTCAACCAAGCTTCACAATCATCATTGCTGTGTACAGTATTAAATTGTTTAAAATGTATACTGTGTGTGTGTGTATATACTGTGTCTTTTGTCTGGTGAAAAAAATTTCCTTGGAACCTAACCCCCCCCCCACATTTACAT